AAACTTATGGTGTTTTTTTCTACAACATGAAAAGTCATATTAATTAATATATTGCCTATACGAATCTCACCTGAATATAAACCGATAATATCTAATGGGGTCTTGTTAATACCAGTATATTTGTAGCTATTATTAAGGGTCGTATCTATATCTCCATATTTTATTAAATGATTACTAATTAATGAGATTGGACTCCCACTGTCCAGAATACCCAAAACATTATAATGGTATTTAATAAAATCTACCTTTAAAACATACGGTTCTGTAGCCACTCCTTGTTTTTCCACTAGAGCCATTGTATTACTATTCTGCACTGGTGTAGTCGAATCTGGAAGTTGTGAGGACATCGGTCGACCTCTATTCGTACATTCATTTGCTTTGTGTGTAGCACTCCCGCACTTAAAACACGAACCTCGTTCACGACGTGGCTGACGGCACTCACTGATTCGGTGACCCATTCGCCCGCAATTAAAGCACTTAATTTGCGACAGTCTGGCCTGGACTCCACTACCTGACGAGCCCGGGGTACTGCTGTAGACAGGTCTCTGACTAAATAAAGGAATCTGTGTGTTTCTCGGGGGATCATCCTTAATCACATTGTTCATTAAACTAAACAGTTCATCTGTACTATGGATTGTGTGCAGCATCATACGAGCCTGGTTCTGTAACATCCTGTCATCAAAACCGTCGATGATGTAATGGATCATGTCTGAATCACCTACATCGGCACTGTTCCCCAAAATAAGTTTATCGTGAAAATAATTGGAGAAACTTTCATTTTTCTTCCATCTCCTACTTTCCATTCTTCGTCTCAGCGTAACTGGGTCTGCTGTACTTCCATACATCCTTCTTAATTCGGTCTTGAGCACGTCCCAAGTCATCGAAATTAGGTCGGTTTTACTTAAATACCAATCTCTTGCTTTGCTGGTTAATTTTCCAATTGCCAAAAGTTGGATTACATCGTCTGTAACTCCATATGTTGTTTGTATCTTTTCAATTCGGTCTAACCACACTAATACACTTAGGCCTCTCTCTGTGCCCGAAAACTCTGGGAGTAGTGCTAAAAGTTCGGCGTGACTAACCTTTGGCTCAACATTTTCTTGTTGCCTAGTTCCATTTTTAAATCGTTCATAATCCATAATTGCCCTAACTGTGGCTTGCACGACTTCGTCAACACTTACGGCAGACGGTTGATCGTCATTATGATCGACTGAAGACATGCTTGAAATTTTTATTGTCGATTTTTTTTTTACCTCATAAAACAAATAACAAAATACGTAGTAGATCCCACTTCTGAGCTGTGGGGGATCATAAAATTAAACAAGTTGTAGTCGGATGGCTGTTTATTCCCACAAAATAAACCTGATCATAAATACATAGCGGCATTTTACACATAACCAAAAACTTAACATAACCTTAAAGCACCTTACACATCGAGATCATAAATCAATCTAACCAAAACGGAAACACAGGTGACGGGCTGACAACTGTCACCCTAAACAGTAATACCAACATGGTTACTAATATTAACATGGCGCGAAATACAAATACACCTACATCTGGAATATTTTCTGTAAAATTGGCATTAAACTATTGGTGGTATTGGCTAATTTTAATTTCTACCTAATCCTCATTTTTCAACGTTGCTATCAGATTTCTACAATTTTTTTATATTAACTAATTCAAATAATACTGATTTTACTCATTATGGCTGCATTACATGTTCTATTTTTTTACTTCTTAGTTCATCTATTTTTTTTTTAATAGCCCTGTGGTACAGAAGAGTGTTTGTTTTCTCTTCTGCCCCTGTGACAATCATAACTGTCATTCAAAATAAAATACAAATGCGCTAGTTCAGTGTGATGTCATTTTGGTTCCACTGACATTTAATTCTAACCAAACTTTTAACAAAAACTTCAATAAATTTGACATTTACGTTTTTACTGTTTTAAGTTTATTTCTAAATATTGTTTACAGGTCATAAAAAATAGTTGAAAGGTATGTAATTGGTAACTAAACGATTGTATATTTGATGCATGTTATCTACTTACTTTAGGAATATATCTATAAAAGTGAAAAAACGATATAATTTAGGTAAACAAAACGCACTCAAAAAATATACTGTCACTTTAATTGTCAGTGGAACCATAATTACATCATCACTGAACTAGCGCATTGGACATTTATTTCTTCTTTTTCTAGATAAATCTTGACGTTGCCAAATCAATCTGACAATTGTTGCTTTTTAATTGGCTGATGCGAATTAAACTACGATAAGTAATATTTAAATAATAAGTTTCACTTTACTAAGGGAAAATTTATTCTGAAGCGGTGCGAATGGCCCATAGCAAATTAATATTTTAACTTTCATTTTTGCGGCCCATCCTAATGTGTAAGTTTTGTTTCCAGTCTAGCCTTTTATCTGTATAAAGTTCTAAAAATTTCACATGATCTTTATTATTATCATCGTTTTTCTTGTAGTTCTTGGTTTGTTAGGTGCTTGTAGATCAAAATAAAAAAATGTATTTGTGGTTATAGCTTTCGGCACTGATCAGTGCCTTCTTCAGTAGTTTTTATTCAGCAAATATTTTCTTATTAACACATTACTTTTTTTATGAAAGTTAGTATTAGATATATGAATTCAACAAGAATTTTTTTTTTAAGCTATTGCATAGCTTTTATCGCGGGCTTTGAGCGGCGACCGAATCATGAAATTTCGTAACATCGTAACAAAAATAAACCTAACCCCCCCCCCCCCCCCCCCACTCCGACCGGCACAGCGGTGAGGCGTTAAAGCCATGGAAGGTTTTATCCGACCCTATTCGTATTAGTATGAAGCGGAGTTAAATATACGTCTGCGGACTGAAACATTTATGCAATACAAGAACTAGAAGAGCTTTCTCTGGCTTCTAATAAATTGGTATCACAAATGTTCCCGGCTGGCGTAAATATTAGTTATTTATTTTTAAGCTATTGCATAGCTTTTATCGCGGGTTTTGAGCGCGGCGTTCGAATCTAGAAATTCCGCGAAAATAAACCATGTCTGCATTGTCTAACGTCGTTTCAGTTCGCCAGACTTCGGCACGGTGTTTGTGTGCGTGCGACTAGACGTATGTGTGTAGACTAGCTGCTAACTGCTCATAACTGATTCTATCTCTTTTAGACACAATGCTAGGTGAGACAGCGTGCTTTTTGGCCGCGTCCACGAGTGAGTTCGAGCCTGCGACTAGTTGAACCTTATCGTGTATGTATATGGTACGACTGTACGAAGCTCGCACGGATCGAGACGAGCTGCTCCGAAATCGGACAAATACGTAAGCAGCTGTTTGTGAGAAAGGATATATAAAAAATGCTATGCAATAGCTTTACCGCGGCAGTCCCTGAGTGCCACACGTATTTTTTTTTTTTTTTTAATTAAGGTTTGTTTACAACTTGATATTTTATTTTATGTTTTATGGCTTACCTTTGGTACAAAATTGGGGTGTCATTAAAATACATTAAACCATTTTTTTTATTATTTTAATCCATAATCCTAGTCATGTCCGTTATTCTATTTTTATTTTTTGGTTTTGTGGTTATCCGTTTTTGTATAAGCGTATTTTGATCTACAAGCACCTAACAACCCAAGAACTACAAGAAAATCTATAAATTAAGGTGCAAGAATTAAAAAAAAAGCAGATACCCTGACTTCGTATGTAAAGTACTAATATTATTATCTATTTTCTTTAGGGGAAGTTGATTTTGTTTTAGTTTCATTTAGAGAAAGTTTATTAAATCAGGTGACTGGAATCTTTTTTCAGCTCTACTGTGAATAGCTTTTGGCCATTATTAAAAGCATTGTGTCTAGTTTGCTATTTTTTAGTAGACTCCATAAACTAGAAAGTAACTCTCCTGCATACCTAGTTCAGCTGGTTTTTTATTGTCATTCTTTAAGGAATCTCAGTCATGATAGACTTTCGCATTAACACAATAACTACTGCAGATTCCTCCTCTTCCTGGCAGAATCGGAATATTACAGGGATACTACCAATCATTTTTAGCTCGGGAGAAAATTTTCAAAACGGTTTTTCTACTTTCTGTAGAATTTTACTATTATTCACTAATGAAAACTAAGAACTATCAAATTATTAACAAAAAAAAAAACAGCAAAGACAATGATGGATATGTAAAAAAAAATATGGCTCATATTTCCAACCAGAAATAAGATACGTCTTTTTTACCTACATAAAACATCAAATACACCTATGATTTGCAATGTTCTCAGCTCTAAAATACACAATTTATCTCGCAGTGATAACAATGTTGCTAGGACAAACCTAATAACCAATAGATATTTTCATTGGAAGACATGTTGCTGTTGCAAGGTCATTGTAAGAACTTTCGCCATCTATCAGTTTACATAACAAGTAACAGAAGCAGGATTTTATTTAAAAAAATCTAAAATTGTCAGCAATCTGTCGCAAGGTTACGGCGCCAACATACATTTCTATTTTCTTTGTTTTCTTCTATTGTTATATGAGCTCAGTTTTGCACTATAGACCCAGTGTCAGTTTCGTTTTTAAGGAAGTGTTCCTTTACAAATATCAGCCATAAGAGCCCTAACACGCGCTCCTTGGCAAGCCAGGTAAGTCTCAGATAGTGCTAGTAAAAAACTGAGCCCACACAGCTAAAGTGGACAAGGGAAAAAAAGAAAAAAGTATGCTGCGCCGTAACCTTAGACAGATTGCCGAATTGATAATTTAGTTTCATTTAAAATAAAATCCTGCTTCTATTACTTGCTATGTAAACTGATAGATGCCGCAAAGCTGTGAAAACATCTATTGTTAAAACAGAATACGATTTTAAACAACCATATTGTTATAACTTAATATATTTAACAATATGGTTACTGTAGCAAGTTTCATAACAAGTTTTAACTGAATCAACCTGATTATCAAAAATATAAAAGGATGTTTTTGTTTAATAAAATAAATTAATTTATGTTATACAATTCTTTTCAGAATCTGGAGATGCTTCAAACTTAGATTTGAACCAGTCCAGTTCCTCTATGAATAAGGTTAATTCCAGCGAATTTGATCCACTTCAAGATAAGACCCAAAAAAATGGGACTGAAGATGTTAAAGATAATTCCAAACCGTCTACTCCACAGATTAACAATGAAGGTAAGGCTGGAATAAAAATCAAATATGGTTTTGTTTTGTTGATCAATTAAAGATACTGGAAACTATCATTAATAATTGATATATTCAGTAGAATCATTTAGTAACGGATATATTTAATAATTGCAGTAAATTTGCAGCCAGTGGAATATTTCATTATTTTTTTAAATTGTTAGGTGCTGGCAGTCGACCACAGTCTGTATCTATGACCACAACACCCGGACAACAGTCCGTGGTTACATCTGCGGCCAATCCACATGCCATGACTGATTATTTTGGAAGATCCTCGAGTGCTGGAAATTTCCCTGGCATGCAGTACAGCTCGTTGCCTTATCCACAACAGTATAATTTTCAATCTACTGGGTAACTTTTTAAAATAAACTATGCCTAATTTATTAATTTATCACATTACTTGTTTTACAGACGCTATGTGCCCCAAGTGATGGACAGCTCGCAGGTGCCGAGCTCCAATGCTTACTCCAACCCGTCACAAGCTAGCTTGGCATACCCCCAACAACAGCAGTATGGCCACCCGCCAGTGGTGTACCCAGCTTCAGCTCAAGGCAACCCCTACTCGAAGGGCTTTACTCAACCGTCGCCCCAGCATGGGTTCATGCCCCCTCGTCAATAGACAGCCTCCTCTTCTCTCCCACCACCCTCTCCCGAACTCTTTAACGAGATTTTATTTAAGATTTTAAACTGGATACATTTTTAGTGGTCGTTTAAAAAAAAGGAATTTGTATGTTAACTGATGATATGATGATATTAAATGTTATTTTTAATCGTTTTATGTATGATTGCATTTTTACTATCTATTCTGATGCTCTAGATTGTAAGCAATAAATAAATTAATATTTTTTGGAGTGTATTTTTCCTTGAGGAGCGCTCTCTTTGCTAGTCAACTATTGTTGGCTATCAGATGTCATTTAGATACTAGACATTTTCGATGTTTAGAATAGAATATAATTTTATTAACTGTCACTACAACAAATGATTAACTGCAGGTCATAACTAGGGTTGTAACGGAGGCCTCCTTAGCGGAGGCGATGAGTTTCGCCTCCGCGGATGCGGAGATTAACGGAGGCGGAGGTAAAAGTGGATATGGAAAAATATTAATTTATGGTTTATCAAAAGTAAAAAATCTTTATTTCAAATAGGTTCATTGTTAGTTCACTTTAATAAACATCAAAATTAAGGAGAGGCAAATTATATTTTACAAATAACAGTTTTGCGGCTTTGTCACCTTCCAGGCGATTTCTAAGAGGATCATAAATTAAGCCAGCTGAACTAAATAATTGTTCACTTGGCACTGAACTGGGCGGCGCCGATAAATACGTGCGAACGATGGAAGAAAAAGCTTTTATTCACTAATTAACTCACGCGTTTTTGTACCGATTGAAGTAAATACATCTCCGTTATAACTCCGCAAATATTTGACGGAAGCGGAGGCGAAGGTACGATTTCTTGCGGAACTTCCGCAGTAACGGAGGCGAAGGCGAAGTTCCGTTGCAACCCTAGTCATAACATAAATAATAAATTATTTAAATTACTAATGAAAGCATAGGTACATTGACCTCATACAAACACCTCCACGTGCACAAAAAAAAACACAATTTTTTGTGTCTATATTGCGTTAAAAGAAGACTGCAAATGCCTTTTCGAGTTTGCTTGTGTGCATCGTTAGCATTCATGCTCATCTCGTAGACAAGTTTTTCATATTCAATTCGGCATTAAGTATATTATATACCACATGGTTTGAGAAGACCAATACCTTCAACTATTGGTCTAATAGTTACACGTTGATCTTGCAGCACGAGATCATGGACTATTTTAACCTTATCATGTGAAGTAGCGGTTGTAAGCGCTTCACCTGCATGTTTGCCTGTACAGCAGTGTACCACCATATTTAAACTCACTGTCATATGATACTGCAGATTCCCCTAAATGTATTCACCAAATCTTTATGAATTTGGGGCCATCTCTTATATGCAAGTGTTTAATCATCGCTCCTTGCTCAACACGATCCATTTTTATACTGAGATGTGACTCGAATTCAGGCGTCTACGGGTTCAGACTTGTAATTTTCTAGAGTGAGTCTATACATAACAGGTTACAATACGACGTGAAGATGAATGTTTTGATTTATAAATGACCCGGGGTCGAGTACGCGTTACCGGGGTTCCGAGAGTCAGGCTCGTTCGAAACCGTTGTCACGCAACCCAGACAGCACACCAAATCCCAGAGATATCCACAGAATATCTTTTGTGGATATCCAATATATCCACAGGATATCAGAAATATCTCGTGGATCTAATATGGATATCCAAATGTCCGTCTATATCCAGAATATAGAAGATATCCTAATGGATATTCAGCAAAATATCTAATGGGTATCTTCCAGAAAATACAAGAAATCCCAGAGATATCCACAGAATATATTTTGTGGATATTCAATATATCCAGTGGATCCACATCCCCAACTAGCCATTCATAAAAGTGTATTTGTTGTGAAGTTCTCATCATCATCTATTGTATAGTCCAGGAGACAGTGACGATTTTCGGTATTTATTTTCCCAGTCAGCAAGCACGAATAGAGAATTGTAGGATTAGCAATTCTAAGCAAAATTCATATATATTTAGAGGGGGGATCCGATGGGCTGAGGCCGAAAATGCGTCAAAACATACGAGAACACGGCCCTTTTTTTCCATTGATAAAAATAGTTTTAGTAGTAAGAGATGTACTGAAGTTAAGCAAAAAAATAGTCTGATTAATCTGTATGGATAATATATTTGGCAAGTGCATAAAATACACTTTCAAACGAGTTATGTACACAATTATTTCTACGACCACAATTATTTAAAGAATGTTCCAGGTGTTTTGTATATTAAAGTGTACGCATAGGACACATAAATAAAATCTTATATCACAATGTTTCACCTAACCAGTTGGTTTATTTATAGAAATTAAACATAATAATTGAAGATATTACAGAAGAAAATAGGGAAATAAATTACATTTCCTTTTACACTTCTATATAATAATTGTTTTATTTAGAATTCACGAATCACTTATTACTTATAATTATTGTTAGTTTCGTTATGTCAAATCATTTATACTAGAGGTGTGAGGAAAATACAGTGAACTGTGGAACGCCAATATCTTTGGATGCGCGTGGTAGAAATGGTCCTATAATACTGCTAAAAACATAGCTAAATTTTCATGTAAACACTGTACTTTTGACATTTGCGATACTCCGATGCATATGCATTATTGATGTAATCTCATGATTTTACAGTAATAGTTTTTGCAATTTTAGTGTGATTTTTAGGTTATTATGGTTATTCATTTTATTTGGTTCTGATCTTTTGCGCTTTTAGAGTATTTGTCTTTTTAATTTGAATTTTAATATTGTGGTCTATTTATATTTGATTGCTGCTTTTCGACTAGTGCTTTATTCTTTTTGTGTTAAAATAAGCTTTATAACCATTAAGTACATGCTTCTAGTTGATATCTACCTAATCGTCATCGGGTGCTTGCAACAATGGGAAAAAGTGTATGGTTTTTTTGGTGTAAAGTTAGACGCCTTTATTTTTCAGGTAAGTTATTTGTAGTTATTTTTTACTTAAAAGGATAGCAATACGTCCTGGTTCGGGGTGTGACTTTTGGGTTTTAGCTATCTGAGCCAAATTGTCGGCTAAGTGTCCTCTTTTAGGGCACCCAGAACCGAAAACTATATAGGTATATAATATGTTTTTTTTTTTTAATTATTTTTTAATATGTATGCAACTTGGATGAGGGCTTTAGGAAGAGATCCTAAGACTGAACACTGACTGCTGTAAATGCCGTTTTTACAGCACATTTCATAGTAAGTGATTTCATTCTAGCAGCAATGAGGAAACGTTTAAAAACATGCTGTACCAGCTATTACTTTAAGACCTCGTCTCTTTAATTTATTATTACTTCATTCTAATGCATATATTAAAATGGTTTTTAACTTATGTCCTTACGATTAAAAGATGTAGGTATTTTAGTTATGTTATAATAGAAATATATGATACTTTGTATTGACTGGCCACTGGTCATTCCACTCCCACATAGCACACGGACGTCTTATGGACGTCTAAAAGACGTCCTTTAGGGACATAAAGGACGTCCGAGGGACGTCCTATTTTGGTACCGGGACGTCAATCGGACGTCCCATGGACGTCCTAATGTCCCGTTTCTGTCCATCTTAGGGACATCCCAAAAGGACGTCATAGGGACCTTTGCGGGACGTCCTAGGGACGTAAATCAGACGTCCGAGGGACGATATTTGACCATAATCCATAAAGGGTAATAATAACAAAAATGTTAACAATAAAAGAGCTTTATTTAACAACTTTTATCCTAAAAAACCTAGCTAGAGTTAAACGTTTTCAGTTTACAAAAAAAAAAAACAGGAATGAATTAAATTTAACACACAGTGCTGGCAAGATGAAACCTTGGGTCCTACTTATAGCTTGTGTCGACAAAACTGAGTATTATAATTTTGTCCAAATTACTTTTGTTCCAACTTTCCGCCATTAAGATATTTTCTTTCCGCCAGCGGCTACCGACAATACACATCACTTATTCTCACATCAACACAAAACACTCACTTCACTTTATAACCACTTTACCACCAGCATCAAAAAAATAACAAATAACACTATATAACCTTCTTTTTTCTTCGTTAATCTAACTCACTTATTTAAGTTAATTATTGAATGCCGAAAATTGTAGCTATTGTTGTTCATTTGAAAATAAATGATAGGTTAGGTTTTCTGTCCTCATACTCTTGCAAAATCAAAACGTTAAATTTCAAGTTATCGATTCAAAGACCAACGATGCTAGTGCATAGAAAGTCCCATAGACGTCCCTTGGACGTCCCATTAACGTCCCGGACTCGGACCGAAAACTAAATGCTTTGTCGAAACGGGACCAAAATAGGACGTCCAGATGACGTCCTTCTAAGGACGTCCTAGTGTTAACTGTAATCGGAAGTCCAGTGGACGTCCTATTTAGGTCCGGGACCAACCGGACCAACAAGGGACCAAATCAGGACGTCCATGGGACGTCCTGTGCTATATGGGCTTTTACTCCCTTTTTTCATAAATTATCAAATTATTTAAAAACAAATACATACCTAGCTATTTTCTGTAAATTACATTAAAATTTTAGTATTAATACTTTACTAATAAAACTTCAGTTAATTTATCTTATATATACACACAACGGAAGAGTTAATTGGATTTTCTCCTTGTTGAGTTTCAAAAATAGTAATTTAACATGATTTAAAAACAAATACATGAAATGGGCAAATAGATTGGCGTTCCATTTTAAATATACAGTTCACCGGGAATAGATTATTTAAATATACACGGACCGGGAAAACAAGTACGAAAAAATTCACTGGCTCCTGGACTAGTACTGTATCGAAGGAATTTTTATGAATGAAACAATATACGACCCTCCACAATTGCGGTCTACTCTACTTCCGCTGTTGTCAGACATTATTTTTTTTTTGGACAATTTAAAGACCTAACAGTAATTCAAGCAAACGCAATAACATTACTACAGTTAAAAACATCGCAAACTTGGCATCAATATTTTAATTTTATCCAAATATTGCATTTCTGTCGAGGATCATCCGCGTTGACTTCAGAAATTGTGTAATCTGTATTGGTTATATAGGTATATCTATAGTTAAAAGCACGTAAACTTGGCATCAATGTTCA